TCCCTTGGCCTCCGAACTCATGGAGACCGTGCTGATGCCGGTCACGGCAATCAGACCTCCCCCGTGCTGCAAGTACGTCCCACCTGGCGGCAGCAGCTTTTGTTGGATCAAATCCTCAAATCATTGGGTATTGACTTAAAAAAATTAAAGCCAACACTCAACAGTTGGCAAACACGTTGGGTTTGAAAACAATTATAATCACAGTAGCCCGATTTTTTGTTTCAATTTAAAGCTTTCGTGACTGCAGGGATTCATATTCTTGGTTCTTTTGTTCTACGTGACTTTACCGAAAGAACCACGAATATAATTTTTTGTTGTTTCCCAAATATTTTACCTGCGAAAATCCCTTCAAGTGGACCATTTCATTGGCACGCGTGTCCAGGCACAAGCGGCAAACGAACGGCCGCACACGAATCGTACCCAAAACTACTCTTCACCTACACACTCGCGCACAGTGCAGTGCACCGATACGGTTCATCGTTGCTTCTAACACACGACGGTGCACAGCTGCTGCTGCCGCCGTCTCTCGCGGCATAATGGCACTTGATTTCTGTCGGGCTGCTGCATGGCGGACAATCTCTGGCAAGTGTGACCGGCCACTCTAAATGAAGGTGGATGGAAATGGATGCAATTTCTAAATCTGATGGCGTGACAATAGCCACGCTTCAAAAGCTTCCGTGATGAAAAAGCCGTCCCTCTGACTGGCCGCCGCAGCACTACTTGCCCGGTTATTTTCTTTCCCACGTCTACTATGTGAGCTCAGTTTTCACTGTGGAACTTTTTTAAATTGCCCATCGGATGGAATATGGTGCGCGCCACGGTGGCGAAGATTGTTAACGACCTCGCCGGGTACACAGGAGGTCGTGTGTTCGGTCCCGACCCTGCTGCCTGCTGCTGTATATTTGGAGCTTGCAATCTCTCCCCGTGGTCACGTGGATTTCTCTCCGGGTCCTCCGGTTATTCCCTCCACATTTAGAAACATGCGTTTAGAGGATTTGGCTGCTATACATTTCCACGTGATAAGCCACTTCGTTGAGCTATCATTTGTGGCCAGGTCGCTTCTGAAAAAGAGCTACAGTCGTTCAGTTGGCCTTGCCTGGTAAAATAAAAAGTTTAATTTACAGTTCACTTGAAATTAACAATAATTGACTGGTGCAATTTTTGAAATCATTATTATTATTATATAAACGCTACAGGAACCACCACCTGATGTGAGCGTGTGTAGAAGGTACGCCGAGCATGACACATTCTGTTTGTCTGCCCAGAAACCCTGAGGAGGCTAACCTGGGGGGTTACCCCGGAGGCCACTCCGGGGGCTACCCCGGGTAGCTCACGGCGTCCAGGGCTCCGCCTTCTCCAGCCAAGGCTTCGGTCCGTTTGCTCCTGCTGCGAGCGAGGCTCTGCTTAAAGTGTGCGTCCCCAAGGTGATGCCTTCAACACTTTTTAACCGATCCTATAACCAGGCTCAGCAAGGCAATTTCAAAGCTATTAAGGTCCCCTTCGCTTCGTCTTGCTCAATACCGTTTTGTACTCGGGGCAGAAACGGCATTGTTAGGGATGGGTAATGCAGACATCCTGACTGTGAGGAATTAACCAACGAGCTCCTGAGCCTCAGCTCAACACGATTACGCGTTAACTCATGTTAGCTCATGGTAACTTAATGATTTCCGGCTCAAATGAGCATTGGGGCACCTGTGCTCATCTCTGGTTTACAGCCCTGAGCCAGTGGCGGAAATTCCACATTTCTATAACAGGGACGTGACCGTTGCCTGGGAAACCAATGATGACTTCCCCACAAAAGTGCTACAAATTTTCCCCCACGCCGGTGGGTATACGATGGGCCGAGTCAACACCGGACCACGACTTCAACTCGCAAAAAACTTTCCGATGTGAGAGCCGCTTGCTCTCGTGCCAAGTCGGCCGGCCGCGTTGCTAGTTTTCGAGGTGAACGTGGGAACGGCGAGTGTCGTGGCACCTCAGTGGGAATGATGCATCGTTGGCGGTTTACTTTCGGAACAGAAAACTCGTTTTGAGTCACTGCCGTTGACCTGATGCACCGAGACATTTCACTGGGCGCTTTGACCTCCCATGGAAGGCAATTTACACAATGGCCGCTCGACGTGCTCCGTGCCAGACAATGCCCATTATAATAAAAATACTCAGGAGAAAGTGTTAAAAAAATCAAACGCTAAAATACTGAACAATATTTTACTGACAATAGAAATAGGAACAATGACATGCCAATTTGCATTTTAATTCATGAATACGGAAATGTACGTCCCAGCAGGCCCCTGTTACGAGTGGCCACTAAACGGCATCTTGTATTTATTCTATTTATCAAAATATTTCACCTGTAAAAAAAATAATTCCTCGAGATTTTGACGTCTCGTTTTGCAAAGACGTCTAGAATTAAATTCATACATTTTGTGCGCTATATGTAATTTTTTAAACTGTAATTACTGAATGTTGAATGACAACATTTACTCACTAATATATTTATCAATAGCGTATCACACCCAAGGAAATACTCAATGCCAATAACTTATATATATTTATATAGATATATTTTTTTCAACTGCTGCTGAGCACAGGCCCAATGCCTAAAGCGTCAAAGCAGCCAGCAACATTATAACAGTTAACACACGTGTGCTTTCTCAGCGTAAACCCATCGCAAATATAAGCAGTTTGTTCTCCTATAACGCGGTGGTAGTTGTGTTCCTGAAGAACACGACGTTATGGAAATATCATGTTACAATAACAACCATCGATCCAATGGAAGGTAGGAGGTTTTAAAAACACCAACATGGCTGACCTTTTTCATGATAATTAGTGATGTCATTTTGATTTTTACGTCTTCTTTTATAATGACCTTGTTTAAGTTAGATAATGATTTTTTTTTAAAGCATGAAAATTTGTTTTAAAAAATGCGTGCTCCAGTGTTAGTCGCGAAGCCACTCATTTTAGATACATTTAACAAAGTTGTATGCAAGGCAAGACAACTAATATAGGGTATAGCACAGTCCACAATAACACGTGAGATGCGTACGCAGGCTGAACACAGACTGAGACGCGTGGGTAGCATCTTGAGGTATCCAGCAGCATCCCAATGCCTTGTACGACGCTACGCCGAGGCAGCCGTACGACCGCTTATTCCTACTCGCGTGACGTAGTTATGTTCACTTATTCGCGTTATATATCCAATTCACATCCGCGTTGTGTTCCCTGATACATTCATAAAGTTACATCAATTTGCGTTACGAAAACAAGCATTACAATAGAACGGACCGTTTAACTGGTAGCAATGCTCGCTATCCGTGGTACACGCAACACACCACACTGTCAGGCTTTCAAAATATAAAAATAAAGTCTTTGAAATGAGCAAAGTTTTTATAACAACTTGGGAAGAGCGACGATGATGGGAGGAGGGAATGCCAAGTGCAGCAGCGCGAGGGAAGAAGCAGAAAGAGACGTGTTGTGACCTGCAGCGGGGCAAATGAGTGGGTGAGTGAGTGGGTGAGTGAGTGGGTGAGTGAGTGGGTGAGTAAGTGGGTGAGTGAGTGGGTGAGTGAGTGAGTGAGTGGGTGAGTGAGTGAGTGGGTGAGTGAGTGAGTGGGGGAGTGAGTGAGTGAGTGGGTGAGTGAGTGAGTGGGTGAGTCGGTGGGTGAGTGGGTGGGTGATTGAGTGGGTGGGTGAGTGAGTGAATGAGTGGGTGAGTGAGTGGGCGAATGAGTAGGTGAGTGAGTCGGTGAGTGAGAGGGCGATTGAGTGGGTGTGTATTAGACAAAACAGCCAGTCTTGTAGACAGAGTCCCCGGAATGGGTGGGAGAATCGATGAGCAAAGTTCATGGGAACAGTAACCACGGCAGTAGTAGCGATAGAAGAGTGATAGGGAGGCGACTAACAGCCGGTGGGAGAGTGAATGAAGCGAATTATCGAGTGCTGGATTGTCAGTCACCCTGGCTGCTTCATTCTGAATTCTATCCGGGGCAGTGAGAAAGAAACTGAGTGCTCCACCCCGGCTATGAATGATCTGTCGTGAGATGTTAACTACCTCGCCTGGTATGCAGGAGGTTGTGGGTTCGATCCCGACCCTGACGCCTGCTGTATATTTGGAGTTTGCATGTTTCTCTCCCCATGGTCGTGTGGATTTTTCTCCGCTTTTCCCCTCCACATTTAGAGACACGCATTGACAGTATTTGGCTGCTATACATGTCCACACGATAAGCCACTTCATTGAGCTATCATTTGTAGCCAGGTCGCTTCTGAAAAAGAGCTACATAGCTCAGTGAACCTTAACTGGTAAAAATAAAAATGTCAAAGAGTTTTTGTATTGTTTAGTTTATACAGGGAGGAACAATATGTTCCACACTGCCCACCAGGGATTTTTTGTCTGTCTGACTGTCTGTCGTGCATATATATATAATATAAATAGCTCTTTGATTGGTGGAGACCTACTGCCGGGTACGGAGAGGGGAAGTGCCTAAGGGAGGAGGGTCGGGGGAGGGGCCTAAGGAAGGGGGGAGTCAGGAGAGGGGCCTAAGGGAGGGGGGTCAGCGGAGGGGCCTGAGGGAGGGGGGTCAGGGGAGGGGCCTAAGGGAGGGGGGGTAAGTGGAGGGGCCTAAGCAAGGGGGAGGGGCCGATAATTAAGGGGGCTGGCTACCTGGCTGGCTGCCTGGCTACCTCAAGTCACGTGATCTTGTACACAGGTAGGAACAACAGGTTCCACACTGCCCACCAGGGATTATTTGTCTATCTGTCGTGCATATTTGTCTGTCGTGCACGAATGTGCTGTCCAACCAAGTTCCTACCTGCCCACTCCGAAGGAACGTGTTCCAGTTCGCTCGGGTTTTTGCAGCCAATGGCAACTTACAGGCTGCTAAGACGGGACATGGTCGGTCATAAGAAACCAGGATGGGCGTGGGGCCACTCAAACAAGCACCTGGGCATCAGAGAGAGAACATCGCAGACAGTGGCACACAGAGAGAGAGAGAGCAGCTCACCTCTGAATTGGAGTGATCGCACCTCAAATGTTCGGCAAGCCGCCTGTAACAACAGAAGAAAAAGCAACGCTTAGTGTGAAATCTATCATTCAGCTGCCCACATGAGGCATTTGCGGGCCACGAAACATTTGACATTTACATGCAAATTACAGATTGACATGCTAATCTCTAGCAATACAATTGCCGCCTCTTCAGCACCGAAGTCGTGAGGTTATCAGGCTCTCCGATCTTACACTTACATGCAAATTCCATCTCTAGCCCCGCCCACTTACCCTTGGGTTGCACCCATCTCAAACCTCTATAACCTCCTGCTGCAGCAGCTCTCCCGCTATATTTCTCCTGCCTCAGCAGTTCTCCTGCTGTATTTTTTCACCTGAAGACGATTGCTTGTGTTGCAACCGAAACGTCGCAATTTTTAATTACTTTTCTATCTACGTGAATTTACCGAAAGACCCAAAGAGTATGAAACATTGCAAGTTATTCTTTTTTGCATAACACTCTCATGACTAGCGGTGGTGAAGTAAATTAAGTGGTAATTCCTGGGATTATCGATGCACGCTGACGGTCATGTGACTCGGCATCGCCGTGCCACGTGACTCGTCTGTCACGGCCCATCACAACAAAAGACCCAGGTATCGGCCATGGTTACAGCAATCGTAAGGCAGTCACCAGTTTGAACCATTTTAGATAATTACTACTACGAGCCAAGAATGTATGTTTGTGTGTAACGCGCGTGACGTCACTCCACATTCCGCACCCCCCTGTCATGAATATTCATGAGTGGGTGGATTTTTACACTCGCGCAGGTCGAGCGGAAATAAAAAAATGCAAATTCGCTTCAAGTTTCACGTTTCTTTATTGAAAGTGAATCTAATAAATAATTATACGTAGCAACAAAGTGGATTTGGTGTCTTATTTATTTCTTCAGCACTTGACACAAAAGGTAAGTCTAATTTATGCTTCTACATTATAGTAAAATAGACAGTGACTTTAAACAAATTGAAGGTCAGTTATATACAGTGCTACAGTGAACTGCAGTGAGGTGTTTGATGACTTCGTTTTGTGCCAGATTCACTGCCATTAATACGGTGCTACAGTGAAATGCTGTCAAGTGTTTGATCATGTACTTTTGTGCAAGATTCACTGCCATTAAATTTACACAGGATACAATTATACTCTGCTCAATTTTTTAGTAAATATTACAGCTTCCGTCCTAGGACGGGATAAAGGCAAGTAATGGATGTACACACAAAGCATAAACAGTTCGTGTACAAATCAGTTATTTGGTAATGCTGCTACTGACAGTGGTGCAAACAGTCGGGTAGAATAACAACTGAACACATTCCTCAATGACAGTGTGGCATCATAAATAAAATAGGCAACGACTAGCTTTCTTTGACTACGGTGTCATTGACAAATGTGAGTTTCTTAATCGATATAAAAATATATAAACACAGCGGCTGAGCAGAGGCCCAAAGGTTCCAAACGTTGTGATTAATCAGAGTTTATCTTATCTTAATGTAATTTATATTGCGCCTGAATCAAGGTGCTTTACAGATAATTAAGGAGGGTACGATGCGTGTGAACGTGACAGTGGAGGTGAGGTGAATGAAATAGATGAGAGGAAGCAATGGGTGGCCAATCTGTGATGCGTGAGTTTGGTGAAAGCGAAATTGATGACGGTAAATGATGATGAACGGGTTGAATGAGTGGGGAATGAGTGATAGCCATGTAATGAGAATATGAAGATGGAACAGTAACGGTGGTGGTGGTTATGAGGATTAAGGGTCGTGGAGGTGAGCAAGAGAACAAGAAGTGAGTTTTGGGTGAGGAGCAGAGGCTCGTGAGCGAAGGTGACCACTTAATGTGGAGGGGGATGTTTGTTCCAGTGAAGGGGGTGGGCGAGAAGAGAGAGAGAGCGACAGCGTGGATTGAGCACAAGGAGGAGGAGGAAAAGAGAGAGACAGCAAAGATTGAGAATTGAAGCAGGGTTTACAAAATAATGCCAAAACAAGAATTTACGTATTTCGGTCTTTGCAAAGAAAAACCACTGATAATAAAGCATCTCCCACACACTTTGCCTTTTTATCATTTCTGTTTCATGGATGTTGGATCCATGCAGTGTGATGTATTGCAGAAGAACGTCCAATCGAGATGACGGTGTAAACATCACAGACGCATGAAGTTATGATCATCACACCGAGTGACAAGAGCGCGACCGTGACACCCAAGCTGCAAGACCACAACGTGGCTGGCGTTGGGAGGTGCCGTGTCCGCGCTGTTTGACTCTCCTTGCCACAGCTGCTGCTGCTGCTGTTCGGTTTAACAGCGCGTGAATGCCAGCAATAATCATCATTCTTTGTTACGCCTGGGGGCTCCCGCTCGGATACGTGGCCAATCCGTCAAGTTATTTTTGGGTCCCAAATACAACAATTGGCATAATCAAAGGTCCGCACAGATATGTCTGAGAACCATTCGCTGCACTGCCTTCTAGAGACCACCTCTTCGGCATGCAGGTGGGTGTCTGACCTACGCAAACCTGAGTGGCCTGTAACCGTCCGCACGGCATGGCCTAGCGCAGCAGCAGCGTCAGCTGAAAACACTCGCAAAGTGATTTGATGCTCAATATGCAGCAAGGCGCTGGTGCTCATCTTCCATTTACAGTCCTGAGGGCAAGTGAATGGGGAGAAAAAAATCCACATCCCTATGGCAAGGGCGAGTCTCTCCAGAGGACAACCACCGCTGACTTCCATCACAAAGCGGTGCTCCCCCCCCCCCCCCAAACGAGGACGTGAACCCACGACCTCCCGAATGCGAGCAACTTTTACTGCACGATGGCACGGCATCTGTCGCAGGAGCGAACGTGGGAATTTTACCGGAGAGGAACTCAACTTTATCGGCCTTGTAAGGTCGAGTTGCAGAATATTCAGTGATTAAGTAAAAAAAAGCAATGTGCACAGAAGAGTAGGTCTGCGATAGCAGGGGCCGCCAGGACCTGTCGTGTGATTTATGATACGATTCAAATGTCCCATGTGTTTTTGTAAAGGGCACATCACTTATAACACAACAGATTATACCACGGGCAATTGGTGGTTCATATACTCCCGGGAAACACAATGTTTCGTACCATAGTCCTCACCGAGCTTCAAGCTTTTAGCTTTAAACATATTTATCCTAAGCTGCTTTGAATTTAATGAACAAATAAGGGCATAAATAACTTTAAACACAATTTATCATAAACCAATATGCAATCATTCTTGTTCTTTTATCGCTTTGGTCCTGCATCTCAATTAGCTATTGTAACTGGTTGGATGCACTAAGAGCGCTTTAAAATACTAAATATTTTTCCAGAGTAAGCGGCACTAAATTACAAACCCATTTAAACAGAAAGAGTTGGCAGCACTTTCCAATGCATCCTGGCAAGGCCGCACGCCCGTGCGTGCGGCCTGAGCTGCTGCAACCATCGAGTGGCACACACCACGCGTAAACAAAGCGGCGGGGGAAAGCGCGAGGCTTAGCTTAATTAATGTGCGGCGAGGCGGCGTCGTGATGTATGTATGTTGAACTTCTTTCGCACTCATAATAGAAGCTTTTTGGGTTAGATCGCGTAAATATATAAATGTGTCGTTAAAACCCGACACCACCCGACACAGCCAACTAGTAAGGGTTGTCACGTAAGCAGAACGTGGCCAATTTGTCACTAGTACAGCACACCGGTGTGTTGGAGAGCCAAGCCACAACATTTACAATCCGAGTACGACGTTTCGCCAGTAATTACAACTAGCTTCATCAGGCGACAGCCAGATTTGTGGAGAAGTCCACCTGTTTCATTTAGCCAACCGTGCTAAGCCGGAAGGACAAATACTTAAACTCAAACGAAGTAAAAAAAAAAAGCGAGTTTTCAATCTAGATGATGATTTAAAAGTGCATAGCTCAAGTGGCTTCCTAATATCGGTAGGAAGAGAGCGTTCCAGACGGCTGCAGAAGCAGATCTGAAAGAGCGCGATGCGGTGACCGTCTTTGTTCATCGACGAGCCAAAAGCCGCTGTGAGGATGATCACCGGAGTTCGCGTGATGGCTTATGCTCCTTGTCGAGATCAGCGAGGTATCGTGGTTCATTGTGGCGAGCACTTTGTGTGTAATGAGTGCGACCTCACAATGCATTCGTTCGGCAACCGGAAGTCAATACAGCTCGGCAAGCACTGGACGGACATGGTCACATCTTGCAGTAGCCGTCACGTGCCACTGATAAGAGCGGTACAAGCATTCTCTCCATCCCAATGACATACGACGCGGCCTCCGTGGAGACTCTAAGCCGTCTTTGAGCGTGGGGGCCTCCACCAACAAAGTGAGATTTTATCTCCACGCTCGTGAGTAATTATTATGCAATTAACGCCATAAACCATCTTCTTAGAAGGTGCCAAACAAACACAACGTGCATATTTAAACTATAAAAGATAAATGTATAATAGTCACCGCGATATCATGCAAAGGCACGACTTCTTAATGAATTCATGATATGCAGCCGCAGGGTGCAACTTAAACTGCAGGATGTTTAGCAAAATAAGTTATCGTCGATTTTTTTTTTGTCGGGCATGCCGGATGAAAATGTAATGCGACACATTAAATGTTATACAGTGACGTTGGTATATTTCTCATGGGCCAGGATTCTGGAATCCTCTGATGGGAAGAGAACCTCTCCACCATTAAGAATCGTAACGTTATCAACTCCACATTCCGGTGCTGGATGATGGCGAGGGAAAACAATCCTCGTGTAGTTTGTGACGTTATGAGAAGACACAATGGGGGTGGGAGCGCTGGGAGAGGTGGTCTTGGGCTCGGAGCTTGCAAACTTTTGAGCCTGCGTGTCAGGCCCAAAACATTCTCTCTCAAAGCAGCTTTGGTCAATTATTTCCTTCCTTGTTTTCTTCTCATGGTCATAGTTTTGGTACTCCAGACCCATAACGTTGTCTTCACGTGGGTTTTCGTAACTAACATTAAATCGTTTTGGTGCTGTTTACAGCCTTGAGCTAGTGATGCAAC